ATCTATACTTCATTCGTCTTTGTCTGGCAGTCGGTCTCTCGAACTCATAATCGGTTCCCAACTTTGATTTCTTGGGTCTCTTTAGAAACCAATTCACGTCCTCTTCGTGTTCGGCATCGCTATCGACGCCACTGTCCACCGCCTCCTCCCTATCACTCGACTCATCCGCGTCCGAGTCCTCATCCAAAGTGACATGTCTTGAGTAGGCGTTTACCCGTACCTTACGATCAAACTCTACAGTTCTAGCCGTACGAGTGGTACTTCCAAAGCCCGGGCCGTACACGTGTTGTTTGCGCCGACTGTTCGCTCTCCGAAAAAACCAATTAATCTTCGGCTCAAACTCTTCGTCGCCCTTAGTATCACGTGACGAGTGCTGGTCCTCGGGACCGGTCGACGAGTCCTTTGAATAGCGTTTCGACAGTTTATTCAACAACTGATTCCACTTATCGTCCATTTTGTTAACCAGTCGAGACATGTGGACAGTAAACTCATCGACTTTGGAGCGCATTGTCTTCTCTTTGGACAACAGCTTATTCTTCGCGTCGTGTAGTTTACGAATGGTCTGTGCGTAGAGTCGGGACATCTTATTGGATATCTTTTCATTGCCCGAAGCGAACACTGTCTTCAGGTCTTGCAGTTCCTGCCATTTATTCTGCAGTCGACGGTTCAGATCAATGATCACTGTTTGCGTCAGATTTAATCCGTTGAACACTTCCAGTGGTATAATCGACTCGTTATCACTCATCAGTCTATCGTATAGTCCTTTAAGTTTATGGGAGATAACGGACGAGCCCTTATGGAGCGCTTCCCGGAACAGATTCGTTGAGTTTAATACCCAATCATAGATCACATTATCCTCAATGATGTCTTCATCATCGATAGTGTCATCCATTTTATCTGACGATGGTTTCTGTGGTTTATTGTTTTCATTTTGATTGATATTGTCATCGGCGGTGGTCTTCAGATTCTCATACATTTCGCGCCATTTCTTTGCCTCCATCTGCTCTGTATTCAAGCGATCGCGCAATTCATTCAACTGTCTCTCCAACTCTTCAGACGACTCTTGAATGTTATCCATCTCTTCCACCTCTTCATCAGCAATGTATTCATCGATCACTTGATCCGAGTCTTCAGTTTCAATCGTGTCGTGTGATGTCCATCGAAGGCGAGCTATCGTGGACTTTAACTCGTCGTTTTCGATCACCATTTGATTAATCCGTTGCTTTAATAAATCAAGTTTTACGGGAACCTTAAGGTTAGCGGTGCCGGCAGTCGTACTCTTATCCTCGGCATAAGAATAGCTCTTCGCCGACGAATCGATGTCACTGGGAGTGTGCACCACATTAACCACCTGTGCCTCCAATTGATAAATGGCTGCTTTTAGCTCTTGATTCTCAGCCAACAGCTCAACGATCCGGTCGTTCAGGCGTTGCATAACCTCTTCGTCTTCCTCTTCATCCTCTTCGAATCGAATCTTCAATTCCTGGTTCTCTGCCTCGAGGAGAGCCACACGACTGCCCCACGACTGCACTATTACTTCATCGTCTTCTTCCTCCTCCACTAACTTCATCTTTAATTCGCTGTTTTCCACCTCCAAGTCCTTCACCCGCTTCTCCGACTGCTGGCCCTTATATTTAACCTCTTCTAAGGTCTTCAGGAGCTGTTGGTTATAAGAAATCATTAGATTATAAACCAAAACACAACGGATCAGGAAAGGGATGTGACATACGTGCAAGTGCTCCATCTGATTGACCAGAAATCCGAGTTTCAATTTATGAAACTCTTCGGACGCGCTCTTATTATCGCACTCTTTGTCTGCGATTATATTCTTGAGGTCTCCAT